TAATATGCTATGGATTTTCTCAATTTTAGTCCAAGATTGGGTAATGTAAGACTCTAAGAAAAAGACTCAGGCATGTCTTGAGCAGAGATTTGAAGCTGCTGCAGAGCTGCTTCTCACAGCTTGAGACAGCTTGAGAATCTCTGTGTGTTTATTGGTTTTTATATACTTTTTACATTCATAGGCTTTACCATTAAATGCTGACAAAGGTTTCTTCATTGGAAAATATCTTCATGTAAGCAACTATTTTCTAGTAACACATTACATATTTAAAGACCAGGTAAGAACAAATACAGGTAGATCAAAAGGAGAAAGAACTGACAAAGACAGGAAGAGATAAGAAGGAACTTAAGCATATTATCTGTTTAGGTAGGTGAGGCATTGTCAAAAGGGTATGACCTTCTGGCTGCTTCATTAGGACAAAGGGTATCAAAAGGTTATGAGATTTATGGGGGGGGGAAGCACAGCAGTTTGTTACGCGTGCATTTTCCCCCACATCTCACTCTTCTCTATTTTATTAGTGAGGACATTATCCTAAGCTGGAGTAGTTAGTGGGTCTTAGTCAGGGGACATAAAACTTTGTTTATACAAAACATAACTTGTTCCTGAGTAAGTTAATGGTAGCTTAGTATGGAAAATTGAAAGTAGAGAAAAAAGACATTGAATAACCATATATGTGCATAATTAAAGGATACCTCTGGAAAGGAGGTACAATTTAAAATTCTTTGACTGACATGTATACAATGAAGTTTTTTAGGTGAAGGAAAGATTGAGGGCAATAGAAGAACGGGACGACAGAGAATGAGATGGCTGGATGGAGTCACTGAAGCAGTAGGAGTGAACTTAAATGGACTCTAGAAGATGGTAGAGGACAGAAAGACCTGGAGGAACGTTGTCCATGGGGTCGCGATGGGTTGGACACGACTTCGCAATTAACAACAACAACAAGTACAATTGACAATTTTTGCACAAGTAAGATTTGTAGGAACAGCTACAATTGGTGTATGCAAAACAATAGCATCAAGGGGTAACATGTAAGAAGCAGGAACCCAGTTTAACATAGTTGCATAATGAAATTCATTGTCTGATAGAAAATTGCTTAAACCAGTATAATTTTTTTAAAACTAAAGCTGGAACACACAAAGGTATAAGACAAGTAGAGAGTAGATTTTCCATATCATATGATTCAGAAATACAAAAGTCTGTCACTTGTGTGACATTAGCTAATTGCACCCAAATATTATATTTCATCTGTGATTCTAAAGGATGAGGTGGGAAAGCATGAACCCCCACACAGCAATTAAGAAGGAAAGAGAGGCAAAGAATGACTAAGGAATTTGCAATCAAAACCACAAATATGGCAGCGCATAAATTCTCTGGTGTAGGTTCTTTTCCCTGTTGCCGCAAAACCATCTGTGCTTTGGATGTTAAGTTTTTCACATTGCCCCAGGTTGTTGGTCAACTGCGATGGCAAGAGCGAAAGGGACGTTGTGCTGTCTGAAGAGTCACCTGCTTCATTTCCAGTATTGGGTTCTGGACTTGATGCCATGACATCTTTGGCTGGTCGCACACACTGGGCTGGAATCCAGAGAGGGCCTGTAGGAGCAAGCACAGCAGCATAGCCTCGCCCCCAAGTTAGTAAGGGAATTGGACCTAACCAGGTTTTATCAGGCAATTGCTGATAACATACCAATGGATTAGAGAGCACAGCTTTCTGCTGAAAGTGACGCTGGTAGGCAGTAGTTTTTTGAAAAGAAATATTTAGCTGATTTAAAGTTATTAGGACTTTATTGACTTGATGAGTTATCCATGCAAAATTAGGTATCCTTGATCCCTCCTTTTTTATTTATTTGTGAAGGCAGTCCTTAAAGGACCGATACATATGTGAGAAACAAAGGATAGCTGCTGTAAAGTTAAAAACAAAGCCATAAGATTGGGGTTGATCCTGGGCATGATGTAAGCACCTGGAAAATTAAAAATAAGTTGGCACTCATAATGAGAGTCAGAGATTAAGTTAAAAGTCTGTTGAGAAAAGGTATGGAAAGCTAAAATAGCAGCAGATAATTCTGAGCGTTGTGATGAGGATTGCACTGCAGTGTAGGCAGATGATATGAAATACAGCCTATATAGTCAGCACTGAAGAGATAAGTTATTCTGAAAATAAAATTGCAAATCAAATTTTGGGATAGGAAGAACAATATTAATTAAATCAGTCCCATTTCAAGGACAAGCTCGATTGTGTCCTAAGATTATTATTTCAGCAACAGCGTGGATAAAAGATAAAACATTTTGGGATGGGATAAGTAAAGCCATTTAATACAATATACTTTTTGCGCTTCTAACACAGCTAATACTCCTGTAAGTAGCTTACTAGTAAGAAATATCAAAAGTGTTAAGTGACAATTTTTGTGTGGAATTCTGTCCACAAATTGAGTACTCAAGTACTTAATTTGCTCAACTGTGCTAAATGCTGCAAGTGAAACTACAATGAGATCTCCAAGTTGTTTTCCTTTGGTCAATAAGTCAAATTCCAAGTTAATCAAATACCATTCAGATGGAAACAAATTTCTATTAAGTATGTTAAACATTTACAAATCTTAAGCAAAACAATTCAGAGTCATTTCTTTTGGTTGATAGATATATAGGTCTAGCTAAACAATTTAAACTCAACAATTCCCCCCCCCAAAAAAAATTGTCCAACAATTACTGTCTCCTTTTTCGAGACAGTAATTGTAAAACTTTGTAATCTGAAACTGCAAGAGTAGGCATTAAATTTCATCTCCATTTGCAAACTGGAATTCTAGGCAGAGAGGAAAAAAAGTTTAAAACGAACAGTCCCCCCCACTTCTTTCTTTCGGTCTCTCTTGCTCTTAAAGCAACACAGCCAGTTGAAAAACAAAAGAGACAGGAAATTTTTTTGTTACAAACTTCTCACCACTAAAAATAGTTTTCTCTCCTTCACATGCATTTTCCATAAATTCTCTCACACATTCTCCATGGGACTCTTCTCATGCAAACACTTACTGTTACTTTTCAATTTACTTTTACAATAAAATCTGCAGTTTTCTATTTCTTTCACAGCCTGGGAGAGAGTGGGTGGGGGGTTTGAGGGCTAACACACACACTTAGGTATCAACAAATTAATTCATTCATTTTCATTCTAACTGCTTGTATAAACAATTCCACATACAAATATTTCATTTCATACTTTCTCCAGGCAAACTATTTATTTTTAAATAAGGCCTTTTTGTGTGATGTTATCAGAGAGGGTTTTGACCCTCTTCCAAGTCTTGGAAATAACACAGAACACAGACAAACATATATACACAAATACATAAACAAAACACACATCAATTTGGGGTTTGAGGCTAAAACAGGCCTCCCCTTTTAATTAAAAAGGAGGGGAACATTTATGGTTACCTCCAATTTATCCCAGCAACGTCAAAAGACGTTGGGGAAAGACTAAAAGGAATATTGAAGGTGTGAAGGGTGAGGGAAAAGTAGCAGCCCCCTCTCCTCACCTCTGACAAAGGGGAATTGAATAGAGCCAGATTAAAAGGGGAAAAAAGAAAAAAAAACTTACTTTCAGTTCTTTGAATTTTCTTTTCTTTTTCTTCCGTGGCTTTAGTTGTTATCAGATAAACTAGACAACCGGAGGTTTACAAAGTTTTTCAATGTTGTCTTGTTAAAGATTGTTTATACTTCTACACATCAACACAAAGCACCATCAGACATTATCTGACAGGGTTAAACTTAACAGCTACTTGAAGTTTCAAAACATCCCAGTTGTTCAAAGCACATTGCAGAGGAATACATTTTGATTTAATTTGTTTCTTTAAATTCCTCTGACGATTCCTCATATATATTTTTTCTACTTCAAGATTGTTTCTCTAATATTTTCCTTATGGGGGTGTATGATGGCCATAAGGAGACAAAAGAATTAGCCTCTTCAGAAGGAGCTGAAAATCCAATTAAAAATGATTTCGGAGGCACAGTTTTTACTTGATCCTAATCAGGTGTGGGGCTTGTAGTTAATTGTTGCCCTACTGTAGCATCTGAGCCAATTTTTTCCACTGCTTGATGGCACTGATGCCATTGATGTAATACCTGTACTGGAGCCCGAGATTCAAGATGTAAAGTATGCCCTATCTTTTTCCAATCTTGTAACCTAAGCGTCCAACACTTAGGATATCAAGGGAAATGTTTCCATAACTCATCCACCAGCTTCCTTATGTCTGCCTCAGGCGCTTTCACGCCTGATTTGTGTAACAGGAATCTGAGTCCTTGTACATGTTTCTGCTGGTGCTGAGTTTGCAACCCTTACTTACCACTGAGGGGTCCCATAGGACGAAAGTGCACTTAGAGGTCTATTCCAGACGCTGGTAAGTATGTTGGCTGTTGCTCCTTCGGAAGGGGGGGCTGTCCCAGTTGCTCCATGGGGGGGCTGTCCCTGTTCAGGGGCCAGATGTAAGACGCTAAGAAAAAGACACAGGCATGTCTGGAGCAGAGGTTTGAAGCTGCAGGACACAGCTTGACAAACTCTGAGTTTATTGCTTCTTATATACTTGTTACATATATAGGCTTTACCATTAAATGCTGACAAAGGTTTCTTCTTTGGAAAATGTCTTCATGTAAGCAACTATTTTCTAGTAACACATTACATGGTCAAAGACCAGGTAAGAACAAATACAGGTAGATCAAAAGGAGAAAGAACTGACAAAGACAGGAAGCGATAAGAAGGAACTTAAGCATATTATCTGTTTAGGTAGGTGAGGCATTAAGTCAAAAGGGTATGACCTTCTGGCTGCTTCATTAGGACAAAGGGTATCAAAAGGTTATGAGGCTTGTGGGGGGGGGGGGAAGCACGGCAGTTTGCTGCGCATGCATTTTGCCCCACAGGTAACTCATGATCATAAGCACTTGATAACCTCTCACCTGTATCCCTCAGCCACCTGAAAAATTTCTGCTTTTTAGTCACTTCCATGTGTACAGATGAGTGACTACCTAACTGAGATCACGATACCACGAAGGTGTTTTTAGAAACAAAAAGGCACCAGAGGTGCTACAAATCATCAGTCAGGGAACCCAGGCAAGTTTTGCATTTCCATGACATCAAGCTAGTTCACTAATGGCAAGAAGACATATATAAATTAGGTGGTAACAATTAGTTTAGAACCCGTTGTTGAAAAGTAAGAACCCCCCCTTTTCTGAAATATTGGAGAAGATAGCGCTATAAATCTGTGGTCACCTACCTTTCTGGTTTGGTGCCCTGGCGAGAGGGGAGAGGGGACGATTTTGTGTGAGCGCTCACAGCTCCATTGCCGGCCGCTTGCACAAATGGAGCTTCATGTGTGAGCACCCGCTGCTCGCGCAAGTGGAGCTGCATGTGTATGGGCTCTTGCCCGCTGCTAGTGCAGCTCAGCTCCACGTGGCCCACGGCCTGGTAGTGGGCTGCTGCCCGAGGGTTGGGGACTCCTGCTATAAATCATTCTGTGACTTTGACATTCATTGTTCTTTTTACTCCAAAGGTGAATTGCTTCCAGCTGGGAGTGGACGTGGGATGTGGTTCAGGTCAAAATACTCTCCTGCTGGCCAAGTATTTTGAGAAGGTGGTTGGAACAGATGTCAGTGAAGCTCAGATTGAGGAAGCGAAGCGAGCAGCACATCCTCCCAATGTCTCATATTTGTAAGTAAACACTCAGAGCCCTAAGCATCTTCCTTAAAGTAAGCTCACTAATGATGAGCAAAGATTTTTGTGGCAAATAATCAGACATGTATTAGTCAAAATTGTCCAAATATGTTTGATTGTTCTCTGGCATTTTTTAAACCCAGAGAAATCCCTATTTGGTTTATTTAAAACATTTATATAGCCACCCATATTCTAGCTGGGCAGTTCCTAATCAAAAGTTAAAACAACATATAAAAATATATAAAAGTATATTAAAACAACTTATAAAACTGTAAATCTAAACTTATTCTTCTTGTGCCATATCCATTATCGGACGTTGGCGATCATGTTGGTGATCCTGTTTTTATCAGCAGCCGCACGAAAAAGTACTGCTGAGTTTTGTCCAAACCAGTCCTTAGATTTTGAAGCCATTCTTCTGCCTGGACCTCGGTTGCCTTCAATCTTTCCCTGGAGGATTAAATGGAGTATGCTGGATTTTTCTGGGTGTCGCATCACATATCCGAAATATTCTAATTTTCGTTTTTTAATTGTTTTGAAACAGATTAAAATATTAACACATTATCCTTTGCAAAAGAAGGCAAATATAGGTGTCCTACAGGGGTAGGCAACCTTGGCTTTTTTATGACTCGTGGACTTCAACTCTTGGAATTCCTGAGCCAGCTATGCTGGCTCAGAAATTCTGGGTTGAAATCCACGAATCATAAAAAGAGCCAAGGTTGCCTACCCCTGTCCTAGGATAATGTTACAGGATCCAATCTGAGTCGGTCACCTGGACCAGAGTTTTATTCTTCCAAGCTTTTAGACTCCTGCTGGAGTCCATCCTCAGGGAGCTTCTGCAGTCTTATACTTTCATTGGAAAATGGTGGAGCATTTGAAGAAGAATTTGAGCCTCCAAATTTTCAAATCCACTCCCTTCAAAGCTCAGGATACATAGATCAAATATTGCCCTTTAAGTACAGGTTTTGCATGGTCAAGCCAAGGTGGTTGGCTCCTTCGATTGGTAAGCAAGTTGAAGCAGAGAGCAAAACTTTGGGGGAAAAGTGCAGTCACAGTTTCACTAGGAGATGGCATAGCCGTGGTGCTGCAGTGGTCAGAATGCAGTACTGCAGGCTACTTTTGCTGCCTGCTGGCTGCCTGCAGTTTGGCAGTTCGATTCTTACCGGCTCAAGGTTGACTCAGCCTTCCATCCTTCCGAGGTGGGTAAAATGAGACCCCAGATTGTTGGGGGAAATATGCTGACTCTGTAAGCTGCTTAGAGAGGGTTGTAAAGCACTCTTTATGCATAAGTCTAAGTGTTATTGCTATTGCTATAGAAGGCAAATGCAATTAACTGTTTGCTGGCAGAGAATGAGTACTAAATATTGATCCCTTTGCTGTTCTCTCCCATAGTGCATGTCCTGCAGAGGAGTTGCCATTTGAGGATAACTCTGTGGATCTCATCACAGCCTTTACCGCTGTGCACTGGTTTGATATCCCCAGTTTCATAAAAGAAATGGACCGGATTCTCAAACCATCTGGCTGCTTTATCTTGTGTTCCAACACCCTTAATATGCAGTGGCACTATGGAGATCAGTCAGAGAAGCTGACGGAGATTTTCAATGAGGTAAGCCTTCTGCAGGCACCTAGATGGGTGATATTGCTATTGCTACATGCATGCATGTAGTCCTTAACTTACAATCCTTCATTTTGCAACCATTCAAAATTACAATGAAGAAAGTGACTTACAACCAGTCCTTGCACTTACAACAGTTGCAGCATCCCAGGGTAGTGTGATTGCCATTTGCAATCTTTCCAACCAGCTTCTAACAAGCAAAGTCAACAGGGAAGCCAGATTCACTTAACAACCGTGTTACTAACTTAACTGCACTGATTCACTTGACAACTGAAGCAAGAAAGATAGTAAAGTGGAGAAAACTCACTTAACAACTACCTTGTTTAGCAACATAAATTTTGGTCTCAGTTGTGATCATAAGTAGAGAACTCTTCCATTATTCTTTAAAGGTTGAATCCTCTTAACCCTATAATTAAATGACCTCTGCAAAATCTGCAAGAATCTTAGATAGCAACAGAGAAGTAACATACAGGTCAGAGTCTTTGCTGCCACCTAATGGTGGTCTGTATTTTGCAACACAAATATGGTTGTCCTACATTCAGAATTAGCCAGGCATCTGCTTCCTTTGGGAATGAGATCCGCTGTACACAATGTCTTTCCTTTTGTCTGTTCGAAATCCCCTAATTTCATTCTGCAATATTGAATTTTGGAATTAAGAGAAATGCATATGGGGAACATTCATGGATAAAGGGGCCTGCCTTGATGCTATTGCTCTGATTTATTATAGGCTAAATGCCACTATGAAAAGAATGTGAGCAAAGCTCACCAGTGTCTTGTATGGAATCACTTCTACATCTTTCTCCCTTTCTTTTTTGCAGTTTCGCACCCAACTTCTTCCTTATGCACATGAAAAAATCAAATTTGTTCTGGATGACTACAAGGCAATATTTGATGCTCTGCCCTTTCAAGATAAGGAAAAGTGAGTGGTAAAAGTGTGTGTTTCTGTGACTGTGAAGCTAGCAAATTGTAGGCTTCAGCCCATGCATAAAATTACAAGCACAAATCTTGTGTGTCAAAGTTGTAATCCTATATACATGCACCTGGTGGTTTGCAGGGATATTAGAATCTGACAGTGGGTCCAGAAGCAAAGCCTCAATAATGCTCAGACAGACCATGCATTTTTAAAAGTTTTTAATCTTTTTTAAAATTAATAAACCGCCCAGAGTCAGTGGGAGTTGGGCAGCAGAGACATTTAATAAATCATTATAATTGGTTGCATATTCAGCCAGATATTTAGACTGGGTTTGGTATTTTTATCTACCTATGGAGTCCTTTCCAAATTCACCCAAAAGGAATTTGATCTTGGGAAGATTTTGTTTAATTGATATTAAAGGTATCATCACAGGATGTAAGCTATTCCAAGGAAAGCTGTCTTTTGCAATTGACTGATGGTGATGTTTGTTAATTCTGATAGTGTTCAAGTAGTGCTCTAGATGTTTTGGAATTGCACCCATCATGACTATTATTATTGGTACTATCACTGTTTCCTTTTGCCAAAGTCATTCTAATCCTATTTGCGGGCCTTTGTATTTTGTGATTTTCTCCAGTTGTTTCTCTTCTCTTCTGCTGTCTCTGATAACTGCAACATCCACTATCCAGACATTTTTGTCTTTCTCATCAACAGTTTTTTATTATTATGAAAAGAAAATGACATGCCAGCCAAACAGCAAATGCATGCCATTGGTGTATAATGGTGTGCTATATTATATTCAGATATAATTATGTTTTGGGTTGGTATGCAGTATGAATTCAGGCAAACTGCGGCTTGTTCAAATGCCGTTCAAAGCGAATCATTGCTCATTGCGGGGTGTGAAGCAGGGCAATCAGCCAATGAAGGCACTGAAGGAGGGAAGAAGAAGCCCTTGATTGCTCCCAGGCCCAGGCTGGCTGTGTTCATAAACCAGCAGCAGATAAATTCAGCTGTTTCTTTAAAACTCTAACTTTAAAAGGTGTGGACTTCAACACCAGAATTCCCCAGCCAGTATGCCAACTGGCTGTGGAATTCCAGGAATTGAAGTCCTCACCTTTTAAAGCTGCTGAGGTTGAGAAACACCAAGCTAGAGAAAAACTATTATATTTACCCAATAGGAAGAGAAATCCCCTCTGAAATAATTGTCTGAATTGGGTTCTCCTTGCATTCCCTGATAAGAGTCCAAGAAGCCATAGAAAGTAAAGGAATGGCCCTGAAAAAGTGATTTATGCCTACTCTTAGTACTACAGTCATGAGGACTACTTGTATTTACATCTCATTCTGCAGTTGGTTACAACAGGCAATGCTACTGCTGAAAAGTGAAGCCATTTCTATTCAATGGGACCTTGTTTTAAGTAGACAAAATGCATTCTTTTTCCAAGCACTAGCTACAGCTGCCCTTCCTTTGCACACCTCAGAAGCTTAGGATCATTTCATTAACCTAGACTGCAGAACCCGGGGGATAAAGTTTATGATTCCACCCTAAAAGATTTTGCTTCTTTACAGAATCACAGATATTGTCGATAAAATTCCCAAAAGTGTCTCTGAATTACTGGGATATCTCCAGTCTTTTTCTATGTACCAGACTTTTCAAAAAGCCCAGCCTGAAGCAGCCAAATCTCTCATCCAGAACACTGAACGAAGGTAATATGACGACACATAATTCAACAGAAAAAGTCTAATTAGATAAGATCAGAAAAGGGATTCTTCTAATATTATTGGCGTACACTAAAATAATCAGCAAAAAAATATAGTCACCTTAAAAGCAGATAAATTTAGCAGTATAGTCAGAATTAGTAAATTCAGTTTCTTCTGACCTTGCTCCAGCCAGATGTGTTGCATCTGCAACTGCAAAATTCCCAGCAACAAAGCAGCCCCAACCTATTTAGAAGGGTAAGTTAGAGAAAACCAAAGACATCTCCATCAGACATCCAAATGTCAACAGGGAAATAGCTGTATAGGTTTTCTACAAAAGGGAGTTCTAGGGGCTGCAAGGTGGAATTAAGTCACTTTGGGGTGAGATGGGCAGCAAACGCATTTAATAATAACAAACAAAATTAATATGCTTAAATTATTCTCTTGATGCAGAATGTTAGGAAGATCTATATTGAAACCTGACTGCCAGCTTCTCTGGGTTAACTAGCTAGGAATTACAGCCAGATGAACTAATTCTATATTGTAAAGCTACATTGACAGACTCTTGCAAGTCTGAAAGTACAATTCTCTCGCCGTCTCCTTCACAGCCCAAGAAACTAGGGAGGGCCCTTTACAAGCTTTTTGCCCTGCCCATTGTCCAGCTGCAGGCTATGCTACCTCTTATCTGACTGTTCGCTAGGTAGTGTCTCTTGGTCCAGTCTTTCCCACAGGCCATTACGCTGACATTATAATTTTCTATTTTTTAGTCAAAAATTGTTGAGATATCCTGTACTGGCAAAAATAATTCCTTATTGGAGAACAGATACCCTAAAATAGACAAATGATGTTCCCCAGCTGTTTAATTAGCTACTGACCGGCATACATGCCAATCAAGTTCATTCTGATATAATTATTCTTATGGATTGTATATTGCACTGGACTTTGTGTCTAATTTTTTAAATTTCCCCTTTGTAGGATTCTGGAGACAATGGGAGTTTCTTCAAATGAAACCATGATGGAGATTTGGACTCGACAAGTTTGCATTCTGGGTAGCAAGAGCTGTAAAAAGTAATTTTGGCCTCTTAGAAGTGTCCCAGCAGAAAAAATTCCAAGCCATTTCAGTGCCAAGCTTCAGTTCAATAATTACTAGTTTTGAAGAACTTTCCAATAAAAGTAACATCCTGTTTATTTCTGAGAGGAGCGGAAAGCAAATGTAAAATTAAGTAACCAGGAGTAACAATTAAAAAAAATGAAAGAGCAGAAGGTGGAGTGAGAGGAACATTGGACTTTAATAGCTATTCAAATTTCTACCCATAACACTCACTAACCTTGAGCTAATTATTACTAGATTTCAATTACTAATTAAACTGAAGTTTGCTAGTATATTGCTATATGAATCCAGCTATTGTGGATTGAGTATGATGTATGGCTCTAGCTAATTGTGATTCCTAAGGAGTAGCTTAATGTGATGTCAAACTAGGCTTAATTTATCGAATTATACAAAAAGAGCACTCTTGCTTCATTTAATCCAGCATCTTGTTACCATCAGTCATGGTGTCTTTCTGAACAACTTGCAAAGGATGGGAATCATTGCTCATAGGGGAAGAACAGTCAAGTCTGTAACAGTTACACACACAGCTCCCCCAGGCTTGCATCTCTCTTTCCCCATAATACTTAGCATCTATATGAAAATCCTGGTAGATGTCATCAGTTGGTTTGGAGGAAGGAATCACCAATATTCTTATTAAGTTCAGTTATGCATTGCCAAGCCAGGCAGGTCAGAGATGCTGTGAAGTCTTCTGGATGGGTCCAGCAAACTTAAATTGAATCCCGGCAAGATGGCGTAAACAATCAGATTTTAGGGTATTGGAAATAAGCAGTGGTGAGAAATGTTCCATCAGATACTAGGCTCCAAAGCTGTGAAGCAATTTATAGATTAAAGCTATCATGAATTAGAAGTAGAAATGAACAACAAGCTGTAAAGATAATTGATGTAATACTGTATATGTACAGAAGAAATTAAAACCATCATATTACCCAATTCCATGAACTTCTACCTGGAATATGAATGTACCAAACTGGTCACAAAAGAATGCCACACAGTACATATTGTAGTAATCTAAATAGTTAATTATTGAGGCATAGTTAATTGTCTGAAGCTGACTCTGTCCAAACAAGGTTATAAATGAGACACAGTTGAAGAGCAGAAACTCCAACTTCTTTGCCCCTCTTCACCAAAAAACATTGGGGTGCCTGTGACAGACACTCCAAAAGAATCAAAAAAGATTTTGCCTTGAAAAAGAATTACAACAATGGAATAACAGAATTAAAGGGGAACCTTGGAGGTCTTCTAGTCCAAACCCCTGCTGAAGCAGGAGATCCTCTTGTCATTGACACACAGGAGCAGATTGATCACCTAGGATAGGTTTGCATGCAGTTTAGTTTGCTCTCCATATCCCATTCCACTGTCATCAACTGTTTATAGCGATCTGCCTCTTTGATGGGGGAAACAGAAGAAGATTCAGTGACTAAATAAGGCAAGGCTACAGAGAACTATCTGGAAGACAGAGACTTCAGTGGGAGAAGAAAGTAATAAATTTAAAATACTTTTTTCCCTTTCTCAAACAAAAAACCATGCAGAATATATATAGTGGGTCTAAATGTGACAGGCTGAATAATTTTGGTTTAAAACCTATTGGTCGTTCCAGACAATGGGCTGGATTCAAAAGTTGTGCCACTTAAACCAGGAGATCTGTTAGATTCAGTCCTGCTGATTTCAAGGGGACAAATCTATTTCAAAGTCAACTCTGCTTCCAACCCCTGGCTTTGGAAATTAAACAGCAGACTATTAGGCTGCTCAGTAGTGCTGAAGTGTGTTTCATGTGGAGTAAGTAAATACAATACAAGCCATCACTGTGCAGAAGCCATCTTCTTAGAGAGAATACAACAGGAACAGCAAAATGTATCACAGGAACAATAAAGATGAATCATAGAGTAGCAATGTGATACAGGAAACAAATACAATAGAGATGATAGAGCTGCATATAAGGTAAAACATAACACCATAACATCTTCCACTTTTCATGTTAACCAAACAACATTGTGAAATTTTGGATGACTTTTTTTCCCCTTGCTGGAGCTGGGGTGGGCGCAGCTTCCGCATGATGCATCCGGTGTGTGGGCTGGCAATTTTACACACTTGTTCTATAAGAAAAGACAACCCACATCGAAAGAGCTATGGCTTTTAAGCAAAAAAATGATATTTTTTGTGACAAGGTATGGTTTGGTAGCTTCCTAGAAACCATTGTGTGGCACGGATGTAGGTCAAAAAGGTGGAGGAGCAGGTGATCATTGATAGGAGGATAAAGGAGGCTGGTCATCTCCTGGGGTATTCTAGTGGCTTTATGACTTCATCCCTTCAGGCTGAAGTGTCAGTTACTGTCAGTTATCAGAAAGAAGTTATCTTCCCAGAGGTAAGCTGCTCTTCAGTGGGACTCCTGGACACTGGAGAAGCTTCTCTCTTTTAGTAGCCAACTCCTAGAGGGGTAAGTGAGGGTGAGAGTTTGGATTAGGTTTAAGTTTAGGTTAGAGCAGTGGTTCTCAGGGACCCCATTTGGGGTCGAACGACCATTTCACGGGGGTCGCCAAACAAGGCTATCCGCCATTTTTTCCCCCTTTGGCCACGCCCCTGGCACCCGGTGATGTATAAGTGGTTGGGGGTCACCACAACATGGGGAACTGTATTATGGGGTCGCGGCATTAGAAAGGTTGAGAACCACTGGGTTAGAGTGAGGGTGAAAGGCTGAGGTTGAGGGACAGGCTGAAAGGGAGGGTGAAGTTGAGAGTCAGGATCAGAATCAAATTCAAAGGAGGGAGGACATGGAGGGGAAGGGGTATGGGGAAGTGATGGAAGAGAAAGTAAAAAGGGGAGAGACAGGAGGGGAAAAGAAGATGGGGAAGGGGAGAGGGATAAAAAGGGGGAGTGGGATGGGGAGGGGAGGAGGGAGAGGGGAAAGAACGGAAGGGAGGGGGATGAAGAATGAGAACGGGAAAGCGGAGTGGGCCTGGGAAGGAAAGGGGAAACGACAGGGAGAAGAGGGAAGGTAGGCAGAAACAGGGAAAGGAGAATTATAATGCCTTTATGACTTCATCCAGGCAGGTCATTATCAGTGAGGGAGAGGGAGGATGAGGGATGGGGAGGACGTTGATGCTAGCAAGCAATGGAGCTGGAAGAAAGTGATTCATGTCACAGAAACCATTTCCTTCTAGGACCAAAAAGGGATCAGCAGCATTTCCAAGCTCCAGAATGTTTTTGTTTTTTTTTTCAACTTTCCAGTCTATCCAATAAAGCAGCTCTGTAATTTCCTGTTGGTTTCCTACCTATTCAAATAATAATCTGGTCCGCTCGTCCTGCGTAGTTTCTCAATTGGCACAAGCACTTTCAGCTGTCGATAACACACGCGCTCGCAAATATGTAAAGCAGGGGTTCTCAACCTTGGCAACTTTAAGACTTGTGGACTTCAACTCCCAGAATTCCTCAGCCAGCAAAGCTGGCTGAGGAATTCTGGGAATTGAAGTCCACAAGTCTTAAAGTTGCCAAGGTTGAGAACCCCTGCGCGGCCTAAATCCTCACTGGTTTCATAGCCTCTTTGCTTGCTTTCCGCGGTTTATGTTTTCTGACCGTCGGAAAACCATAGAAATCCAAAAGCTCGCGATTCGTGCCTCTCTAAATGTTTTTTCTGTTCAGAGGCACAGAGGCACTTCTTAGGCCATAACGGCGCAGAAAAGCCAATCAGCGACCTCTAAAACCGACGACTAATGAGCTTTCAGGGAATCGTGACGCGTGCTCCGCCCCGTTGCTCTCCAGGAGCCATTTTGAGTGCTGGCTCCTGCCCTTCCCAGTCGCTCAAGTTCCCGCCTCATGCTGCGGCTGGCGCTGGCGGCTCTGGCTCTGGGCTGGGCGGCCGCTTGGTTGGCGGCTCGCGGCTTCGCTCCCTGGCGGTGGCTGGGGCAGACTTGGAGCGGGGAGGCGGTCCTAACTGCCGCCGAGCTAAGCCGCTACACGGGCACCGAGGGAAGCCCGGGACTTTACCTGGCCGTGTTGGGGCAGGTGTTCGACGTGCAGCAGGGGCGCAGGCATTACGGCCCTGGAGGCGCTTACAGCTTCTTCTCAGGTACCCGCCTCCCCATCCCTCTTTGAAAGAGGGCCCGTGTAAAGGGTGAGCCTTTCTCCCCGCGCGCGTGTGCGGGGCAGGGCGTGCAAATAGACGCGATCTACGTACGTACATACATACACTGGGAGGAGAGTCTCTCCTATTTTCCTTCTTTCCAAGGGGGGCGATTCAAAACTGAAATGTCTGGATCTGGATTCCAAGCCCCATCACCCACCTCGACAGCTTCTGACTCTAGATCAGTGATGGTGAACCTTTTAGAGACTGAGTGCCCAAACTGCAACCCAAAACCCATTTATGCATCGTTGAGTGCTGGGTGGGCGTGGTCCATTGGGTGGGCATGGCTGCAATGGTAAGGGCAGACTGGGTGGGACTAAAAAATTCAATCAATCAATTCCAACTTTGCAAGAACTTTTGTTTTCCCCGGAGAAGTTGAAATTGACTTTTTGAACTTTTTTTTTTTGTACATGGCGGAGGCCTAAAGTGAAAAGATTTTATAAAACCCAGCTGAAGGCCTACAACTGGGGTGATGGCACGCGTGCCCACAGAGAGGACTCTGAGTGCCGCCTCTGGCACCCATGCCATAGGTTCGCCACCACTGCTCTAGATGTCTATGGAAATTCTCAGTCATCCAGGTCATAGTTGTCCCAAAGATGCTTTTTCATGAGGCAGTTTTCTTGTACAAGAAAGTTGCTTGTGAAAAAGCATCTTTGAGACTAGATATTCTCAAAGAGCACTCCCCTTTTATATCCTTCCAGAGGACCACTGCGCCCCATTTATGTTTCAGAATATAAAGCACAAAGTTTTGACCATTGATCGGTTATGTGCCATCGGGTCGTTTTTGACTTTTAGCAACCAAATAAGATTTTTTTCCCCATGATTCTCTATTCCAGTGGTGGTGAACCTATGGCACGAGTGCCAGAGGCAGCACTCAGAGCCCTCTGTGGGCACACGCGCTGTTGCCCCAGTCCTAGGCCTTCAGTTGGGTTTTATAAAACCTTTTCGCTTTAGGCCTCCACCACCGTGTACACAAAAAAAAGGTTCAGTCAATTTCAACTTCTCGCGGGAAAAAAAAGATCTTGCAAAGTTGGAATTGATTGATTGAACTTTTTAGTCCCACCCAATCTGCTGTTACCACCCAGCCACGCCCACCCAATGGGCCACACCCACCGGCACCCGACGATGTATAAGTGGGTTTTGGGTTGCAGTTTGGGCACTCAGTCTCTAAAAGGTTTGCCATCACTGATCTATCCCTTCTTCAAGTCTTCCAAGGGTGGACTCATAATTGCAACTGAACCCATCCATGTTGCTGCTTGTCATCCTCTTTTCTTCCATCTTTTCCAGAGAGCTGGGTACATACAGTGTGGTTAATTATGTGGTAAACACATAATGTGTCCGAAGTAGGATAATTTGGGCCTGCTCATTTGTCCCTAGAGTGAGTACTCCAGATTGATTTGGTCAATGATCCAAAGGATTGCTTTCTTGCCATTCATGGTATTTTCAGTAGCCTTCTCCAACATCAATGTTCAAAGGTGTCAATAATGTTTCTACTCTACTTCTTCAGTCAAACCTTTGCTTCCATACCACGGTTTGCATGATTCTGATCTTTGTAAGGATACACACACATGGCATTTGAATATCTTTTCCAAGGCCTTCACGGTTGCTCTGTGAAGAGAATTCATTTAACTTAATTTACGTTACTATTGTTTTTAAACATTTTAACTGTATTTTAATGTTCTTGTTTTGTTATTTGTTATTGTGCGCACTGCCCAGAGTCACAAGTGTGAGATGGGCTATTAGACGCATTTAATAAATAATAGATCTAAACCTGAATGATAATATTGGTGTCAAGAGCCTACAGAGATTTTGCAAATGTATGTAATTTATGGACTGCCCAATTCCCAAATTACTCTGGACAGCTTACAATTAAAAACTAACTTATTAAAAATAAAATACAGTACATTAGAAGAGCAAAGTACAAAAACAAAACAAAAGTGTCCTGTCCCCAAGCCCTGAGAGAACCACCAGGTAAATGGTTATTTGAGGGACTGCCTTGATTAAATCTGCTGCCCCTCCCATTAGGTCTGTGTAAGTGGGATCAACCCGTCTTTTTGATCCTGTGGCTGCTAAGTAGCTGGATTCACACAAAATGGTTCATCTGATTGCCTAAAAAAATGAAATAGTTTCATTTGCCTAGTGCAGTGATGGCGAACCTTTTAGAGACTTGAGTGCCCAAAAACTGGCCCCGCGCCTGCTCCACCCCGTCCCGCCCCTACTCCACCCCTGCCCCACCTGCCCGTAGGACCACTCACGGCCTCCAGGACCCGCCACAGATCGCCCAGGTAGCCCAGCAGCGCCATGGCGGCCTCGCTCTGCAGCATCAACTGTGCGCGATGGGGCGTGAGGGCAGAGTCTTGTCTATGCTGCCTGGCTGCCTTGGCTGTGTTGCTCCATGTGGGCACACTCGGGGGGGCGACTCTCCTCCCGGGGGGCTGCTGGTGAGGGGGTCATGGAGGGAGTCGAGGCTGGGGCAACAGCATGTGTGCCCACAGAGAGGGCTCCGAGTGCCGCCTCTGGCACACGTGCCATAGGTTCACCACCACTGGCCTAGTGAATCAAAGTTTAATTTTGGTTATTTTTTATGGCTTAGATCAGTCCACATGCCTTAAAATTGTCAAGTTTGGGAAACACTGGCTTAGATGCATGCAGAGCTAAACTGCTTTGTTAACTGTTATACAAATATCATGCAAGTTCAGAAATTTGATTAATTTGGTGACAAAACCAGTGCTTTCTTCTTACTTGTCCAGGGAAAGATGCCTCCAGAGCTTTTGCCACAGGTGACTTCACCCCAGCTGGCCTGGTGGATGATGTTTCAGGATTATCACCACCACAAATGCTGGCCATTGAGAATTGGCTTTCCTTCTACCATAAGAATTATGTGCATATCGGTATGTAGATGCCTTGAAACCACAGACACCAATTAATCTTGTTTGCGACAACTTTTCAGCCACATTTTAGTGTAGTGTGTTCTTAATTCAGCTGATAGTTACTTCAAGGTAAGATTTATTTTATAAATAAATAAATTCTCTCTTGCCCATCTTCCTATGAACAGTCAAAATGCAGAGTTCCTGTTTGGATATGTAAGAATCTCAGGTTTATTAAGAGAATGTAGATTTTAAATAATTTAGGACACTTAAATGGAATTTGCCTTAACCTATTAATTATTATTTTATCAATCGTGAAGGAGCTTGTAGTCCAGAAGCTTTTATCTTTGCTTTCATTTCAAGTTACTTTCACCATTCAGCAAAGAAACAGGGTTTGATGTGAAATTGTAGTAAGTAAACTTGACAAATGCACCAAAGTTGTGCACATTTAAAAGGAAAAAAAAATCAGAAATGCTGGAGAGCACAAAACTCGTATTATTAACCTGACCACTTTTCCCATTGAAACTTTATTGTTCAGTGTATAACAAAAAGTTAGAGTGAGCAAAACCATGATGTAAGCTAAGCCAGACATGGAAATGTAAGTACATATGGGCTATGTGTGTCTCAGGGATGAGTGTACAGTGACATGTATTATCTCTCTACTCCCTCATTTTTCAAAGGCAAAGTAGCTGGACTATTTTACCAAGAAAATGGGGAATCTACCAAGGTTTTGGAGGAGGCCCAAGCTCTCATTGAAGAAGGGAAGAAGCTGCAGGCCCAGGAAGTTGAGCGAAAGAACCAGTTTCCACCTTGTAACTCTGAATGGAGCTCAGCTGGAAGAAGCAGGGTCTGGTGTTCCAAGCAGAGGTAGGATTTGCACTTAACAACATCGAAGGAGGACATGATGATAGTGAACCCACCAAGTATAATGTAGGATGCAGATATTGGATCCATGCATCAGTCATAGCTTGAGATTCATTGGTAACTTTTTGTAATGTCATGCTGAAGGTGGGTAGTTTGAGTGACAGGGAGAAAGGCTTTCTATTTGTCTTGCTGCTTGTGATAGTAAAGTTATTTTTTTAAAAAAAAAAATAAACTGACAATGCTCTTTTAATGCTGCGGTGGGGGTGTGATGGCTTAATGGTTAAAGATGCTGAGCTTGTGGGCTGGAAAGCTGGCAGCCCAGGTTTGAGACCCGGGCACCACGCAACCCACCTAGCAGTTCAAAAATATGCAGATGCAAGTAGAATAATAGATACTACCGTTGTGGGAGGCAACAGCATTCCATGCGCCTTTGGCATATAGCCATGCTGGCCACATGACCACAGACTATGTCTTAGGACAACCCTAGCTCCCTTGGCCAAGAAACAGAGAGTACTGCGCCCTAGAGTCAGACACCACTGGACCTTTACCTTTTACTACCTGTAAGCCTCGCTTTAAAGGAGTAATTGGGATTGGACCTCTCAACAGTATGGTTGTAATGTGCAACATCATGTGATTGCTGATTAGTAACAGCAGTTCTGGCAATCCCCAGTTACTGTTAAGCAAGGACATCGTGATTGTAACTTCCAGCTTTCCCATTGGCTTTGATTGTGGGAAGCCAGCAGGGAAGGTTGCAAATTGCAATCATGTGACTGCAGGATGCAACAATGGTCATAAATCTGCACTATATTACGATGACAAGATTGAGGGAAGGCTGCAATGGCTGGAACTTGGGAGACCAGCCATAAGTATCATTCCTTTAGTGCTGTCACAAGTTTGAGTCACTGAACAAGTGGTCATTAACTGAGGACCATCTGTACAGTTCTTACCTAATGTTTAAAAATGGCAAGAAATCATTTACGGCATCAAGAGCTGGAAAATATAGTTTGAGAGTGCCTGTGGCAATAGATTATCCATACTTGTTATACACTGTGGTTTAGAGCAGGGCTTTTCAACCTTTTCACAGATTGTACCACTTTTAGGATATGGCAATATTCAAGTACCACCAGTCGCCTAGCAAGATGTCAAAAACTTGACCAAAAAGGGGGGAAAAGTGATAAAGTACAGGTAGTCCTCAACTTACAACAGTTTGCTTAGTGACTGTTCAAAGTTACGACACTGAAAAAAGTGACTTATGCCCATTTCTCACACTTATGACCATTGAGCATCCCCAGGGTCAATCTACATTTGGATGCTTGGCAACCGATTCATATTTATGATGGTCATAGTGTCCCAGGATCATGTGATCCCCTTTTGCAATCTTCTGACAAAGTCAATGGAGAAACTAGATTCACTCCTTTTATATCTTCTCTCCCTTTATATCCTCTTCTCTCCTTTTATATCCTCTCTTCTCTTCCCTTCTCTTATATCCTTTTCTCTTCCCTTCTTTTATAGCCTCTTCTATTCCCTTCTTTTATAGCCTCTCCTTTCTCCCTTTTCTCTTCTGTGCACCTCCAGATGATTCCTCTCAAGGCTGCGCTTCTCTCTCTCTCTTTTGCAGTCCCCTTCTCTTTCCTCCCTTGTCTTTTTTTTTCTCTCCTGCCAAAACCTCTTTTTACAGCCTCTCCTTTTTCCCCCACCTCCGTTTCTCTTCTGTGTGCACCTGAAGCGCTGATCCTGGGGCTTCTATCTCGCCCCTGCAACCCTATAGAAGCGCGCGCTGGGATCCTGGGCTTTGCCCAGCCCCCATAGCCCTGTAGCTCCAGCTGTCTCTCCCTCAACTCATTCCCCTGCCCTACTACACTTGTTTAGGACAGTTGCCTACCATTGGCCAGTTGCCAAAGTACCACCGGTGATACATATGCCACCGGCTAAAAAGCCCTGGTTTAGAGCACTGTTTCTCAATCTTGGCAACTTTAAGACCTATGAACTTCCAGCTCCCAGAATTCCTGAGAATTCCTCAGCTGGCTGAGGAATTCGGGAATTGAAGTCCACAGTTCTTAAAGCTGCCAAGATTGAGAAACACTGGTTTAGAGAGTTGAGTGGCTCAATTTGTAGCTTATCCTGAGTCAGAATGGGAAAGATTGAATGTTTTTTTTCCCATTTGGCTCAGTATCTATAGCACAATAATATCTATGTATTGATAGTCTGAGTTCTGGCCACAGGCTATATTTATAATACCACTAATATCAGGTTGAGTTAAAACATGTTTGCATTGCAGTTCAGAAATGGTGGAGGATGCAGAAGCACTATCAATAGCTTTTTAAAGCAGCTGCATTTCCTCCAAGATTGCGTAGCTGTCATCAATTAGCGTGTGATCTTAGGATAAGACATAATTGCTTTTAAGAATTGCAGAAGATGCTATGTTCATACACTTTAAAACACCACTGTTGAACATGTCAATTCTTCCCGTTTCATTCATTTCTTCTTTTTGTGCTTTTCAGTGGGGGTATCAGCCGAGAATGGTCTGGTGTACCTAGGAAGCTATATGAACCAGGATCCAGTCACAGCCATTGTGTTTGCATAAAAACAGAAGATCTGTTTCCTGGGCAAGAGAAATCTACCCAGCTAAGCAACCAAGGAAAGCTGAACAATCCTAATTTCCAGGAATATGAAGGGTGTCACCCACTTTCTGAATGGTGTGCTTTAAAAGAATGAGTCAACTGTACCTCACTGGAGAAACACTTCTACACAATCCAGGTATTAAAGGAAGCCACTTTTAAGGAAACTTAACTATGTATTTTGACACACTGTCCTAATCTAAAATTATTGTTTGCAAAACCTGAATCTGCAATTAAAAATCGTGCTTTAAAAATATGGGTTTGTAAAACATAAGGTAAAAAATAGGAATGGAGAGAGCTGTAAGCATTGTGTGTTTAAAAACATGTCAGTTGATGCCATGATCCTCTAAACAGGATTCTAGCATGGAGTAAAAGAGAACATTGGCCCTGAAAAATGGAGGTGTAAAAGGGGCTCCCAACGCCTGCTTCCTAGGTCATCAATACCTGCATTTGAACTGGAAGCATACGGGTAGACCATGATTTGCAACTGGTCACTTAGAGTTACAATAGACCTACTTTAGGACTATGGTCTGTCCCCGGAGTCACAACTGAAATTTAGGGGTTTGGCAGTTGGGCAATATTTATGGCCATTTGTAATGTCTTGTGGTCACTTGACCACATTTTACAACTGTTTTGCTCCAAACTGGCGTTTACTTCCAAACAAAATACACCCATAGTGAACCATTGGTTTACTTAATGATCGCAGCAAAAAAGGATATAAAATCAGGTCAGTCTGACACCAAACCATTTTATGACTGTCATGATTTACGACCGTAATGGGTAGGCTCTATTACAGTTGTAAGTTGAAGACTATCTGTGATTGATTTTCTAACTCATATAAAATGGCTGTACTGATATAACTAAAAGATAAAAATAAACTTTTCCCATCTAGTCGTGTCCAATACTAGGGTTGGTCCTCATCTCCGTTTCTTAGCCAAGGGAGCCAGCTTTGTATGAAGATGCTTCTGTGGTCATGTGGCCAGCATGACTATATACCAAGTGGCACGGAACTCTTGTTACTTTCCCATCAAAGTGGTACCTATTTATCTACTTGCATTTACATGCTAATTCAAACTGCTAGATTGGCAGGAGCTGAGGCAAGTAACGGGAGCTCATCCCATTACGTGGCGCTCAAATCTTGAACCTGGCTTTTAGCTTTCCAGCTGACAAGCTCATGGTCTTTAACAGCTGAGCCATCATGCCCCTTATTTTGATATAACATGCAAGACTAAAATATTGGATCTGCACAACACATGGGTTCTAAACTGATCATTTTATAAACCATGTTTTCACATACAGTACAAATTTAAGTAATAATAGGATTCACTCTAAGGGGGCCGTGATGACTCAGCGGTTAAAGGTGTTGAGCTTCTTAGCCAGAAAGTTGGCAGCCTGAGTTCAAGAACTGCGCTATGTAAAAGAGTGAGCTCCCATTATTTGCCACAGCTCTTGCCCACCTAACAGTTTGAAAGCATGCAAATGTGAGTAGATAAACAAGCTACTTCGATGGGAAGGTAACAGCATTCTGTGCACCTCAGCATACAGTACAGTCATGCACTGGCTCCCTTGGCTAAGAAACATACATCAGCATTGCCCCCCTAGAGTCAGACACAACTGGACAGAGGAAACCTTTACCTGCTAAATTATGGTTTGTTAGCTAACCTAAAGCATTTAATATTCTTGCTGCTCTTCAGTAAACATGTCTATTCAGCTGCCATTTGATGTGTTGTATTGTTTCCCATCTGGCTTAATTTGCTACTTCAGGTTATGGTCTGTATTAACCATCAAACGTATCTTTTACGATCTTGAGCAAATTGTAATAATGGAAGATATCAGTTTGGTGAAGTGAAAATATAAAAGCTTTTTTTCTGGATAAAATTGGGGATCACTAGTATCAGTATTCAGTTTGCAGCAATATACAGTTCTTCTGCTTGACTTCTGTAACCATGAACTTACTGGTGTCCAATTAAATTGCTTTATTACAAGAAATTACAAGTTGGCATATAAATATTAAAAAAATACATTGCTTTACAGGGCTTTAGAAGGAAAGATTGTAAAGTAATAGTTTAAAAAACAATTATGACTTTGTTTCTCAAACTAAAAACAGCAGCTGAAAAACAGGCCATATTACTTGCAGATGTTTAGTTTCTTGCTATGAAAGTGGTGTGTTAGTGGTGTGTTGACTACAGTAACCCCAGTCTGGTAGGGACAAGATTATAGTTTTGTACTGTCAATCCATAAGGACAGCTATGCCTTTTAAAAAAAAAAAAAAGTATAAGCAAAACTTATTTAATACAATACACACACACAAACTTTAAAACAAGGTAGCATGTTTGGAAATAACTACTGTATATTAGACATTATAAGCTTAATTCTGTCACTTGATGTTGTGACATCTAGATTTAGTACCTGAGTTGCTATGTGGGAGAACCAAGGCTAGAAAAGTTTCTTCTTCCATTAATGTCCCTCTGAATTGAATACAAGACTTTACAACTATTCTTTCATAAGCCAAGCACTTATCCTTTCCCAAACACAAATTAGTCCTTTTAGTAATCTGCACTGAGAACAGCTTAACGCTACTATAAAACTCATGGCTAGGCAGTATCAGAGAAGGCTGAGTTTAAGCCATGCTGAAATGAAGTTTGGCTTTAAATTACAAGCACAAACTCCTAGAATGATTATGATTTAATAGATTTGTTCATACAACTTTTTTTTAACATGCTAAGAAATGAACAAAGAAAAATCAATTTTCAGGACCTTAGGCTCAAAACTAATCAAGAAACAGGTCAGTGCTCTCAGAACACTAAAAAAGCAAACTCGTTTGACAAAAATATAACTACCAGACTGCCTACATTCCACAGATTTAAATTATATCAAGTTGAGCTGACATGTTTTCTAGCAAGAGCTACCTTTTTATGGCACATGGTGACCATTCAGAAAAGGCAGGAGGGGGAGGGAAAATGGAGAGCAGTTTGTGGTTTACAGTGGTCTGAGACAGGATGAACTGGCTGCAGAGTAATACTGAACAATGTCTACAAAACAACAGTAGATTTGGGGTCCAAAACTATTCACAGATGAAGAGGCCATCTTTGTAGAACTTACAAGTTATTTTCATGCTCACATGCATGAAGTACAATAAGTACTTTCACAAATTATAAGACTGCAGCATAAAACTTTTGTTACAATGTATTGATGAAAAGGGAAGGGCTTATGTTAACTTGGCTCACAAGCTGAAGTCATATTCCATGCCTATGCTTGAAGTGTAGAATAAGCAGTATGGAGAAACTGACCAATGATTGAAGTTGTGCAAAAGGGATGGAAGAAAGGGATCTAAATTTGGGCACTTCTCTTTTTATAATTGGAAAAGTTAATTTACCATTGAGGTTTAAGCATCTTAAATCTAAGACTATGAAGAATCAGATCACTTTGAAGATGAAAAACCAAGGACGTGTGACATGAAAACTAGCAAGTCATCGTTGCTTCCAAACGTCTAAAAAGTTGCACTTTTGTATTGTTCCTTGAAAACAAATCAAGCACATCTCCCTCCCATGTGCTCTGGAACAAAGAAAGCAAGATCCCTGGAGAGTTTCAAATACCAAATATTTGATGCCATGACTAAAGCCAACAAAGATAAAAGTACTTCTGTCAGTTGATTTGCAGTTCTGTAACCATCTGTAGAAATAGTGTTACACTCTGGTCCAAATTCTCACATTCTTTCAAAACATTTAGCCACTTTTTATCATGTAATTTGCAGATAAAACTATACCAAAGAAGAAAATACTTCAGCATTGATAATGAGTGGTCAAGCTACCACTCACAAGACCGCATTGAAGATGTCACTTAACAAATTAAGTGACAAATTAAGAAAATGCAGGCAATGTCCTTCCTAACTCCCCTTTCATTCAACAGCAATTGCCATTGTTTAGGTCTAAGTACAAGCCAGAGACTGATGTTACTTGCTGGACCTCAAGACAATCAACATTTTTACTCCAAGAAAGTGAGTTTGAGACTACAAGTTCAGATCATTAGAACAAATTAATATCTCAGCCAATTTATAGTCTATCATGGTACAGTATTGCACAAGGGAAGCTGTCAGGTCCTCAAGTGTTACACTTATACATTGACTAGCAAGAACATTTTTCTTTAAAATAAAACAAAACACTAATTTGGGGCCAGTCAGTAGAATAGGCTCAGATACAAGTGTTTTTATTAAAAGTGCTTTACAATTTTTTTTTTTTTTGTGCAATCCACCAAGTCCATTTCAAATTCAAGCATGCTGCCCAAGGAGAATCTCTTTAACAGGGAAATTCCATAGCTCAATTGATACTGAGGGAGGCCTGCTTAATTTTGGCATGTTAATGATCTATCATATATACAATTTACAACCCGGAAGTGGTTACATAATTTCCATAATGCCAGTGCTGAAATATGGTGATGTATCTATGAAAAAATAACTCTAAAAATGCCAGAATCACCAAGGTAAACTGAAAAACTAGCAATTTGTTCACCTTCCACCCACATTTGGCCAGATGAAGTGTGATTACCAGGTGAATTATTGGATTTCCCATCTATTTATCCAAAACAAGCTGCCTGCCTACAGCCTCACAAAGTAGCTTATTTCTTTGAGGGGGTAGAGATTGCACTGATTACAAGTTAAACGACAAGAGGTTCATCCTTCAGAAGCAAACAGATACAAGCAGGAATCTTAGAAAAGGACAGATAATTACCAAGGATCCCCTAATCATTGAAGGCAGAATTCCAGTTTTTCACCCAATAGATCAGAAGGGCTAAGCAGCAAACGGGGATCCAATTTGAAATGTAGCATTGACTTCTTTCCCTTAAGTTTCTTTCTACTCCATTCCCCCGAGATTTTGCTTATACATATAAAACTATTATGTTCCTCAAATCACAGAAATATATTTTAAAAAGTAGCACTCTGTTTGTGTATGTGTATACACTCACCCATGTGGTAACATTACAGGATACATTAGTATTCTAGAAAGAGAGAATGCAATTTTTAGTTAGTTAATATTTTTCTCTTCCCTTACATACATATAGACACTGAAAAGTAGTGGTTACTGAAGGTAAGAGTGACAGACGTTTCAATTAACCCATTCATGAAGCAATGGAAGGCTTGCTTATCTTCCAGGGTTTGGTTCAGTTTATAAGATTGCACTTACCCACCCCAATCTTCTACATTTAAGTACATGGTGGTTTGAATACAAGAGACCCCCCCCCCTTTTTTTTTTTTGCTGTGTTAAACATATGACAAATAGTCCATTGTATATATTCCAAGATTTTAGAAGGGACCTGCTGTGGCACCTGACAACAATAAAATGTCCTTGGCCAAGGAAAGAGGCCCACAGGAGACAAGACTGCAAGCCAATTCTATTTTATCTGGTTCAAGACAGGCATCTCCATAAGTATGGATTTGATATGGAGCTGCAACAATCATCTTAATGCATAAGGATTTTGTAAGAAATCATCTTGGTCTGTCCCAAGATTTATGGACAGAGACCAGCTCCAAGGGTCACTGATGTTGATTGCTCTACTGGCACTATTCTACCTCTCTTGATTACCCCTGTCTCATCATCTTGGCATCTAGCCATCTTCACATGCTCCATAGTAGCATCACCACTGCATGCTGGGTTAGTCCAATAGCATTAGACCTTCCTTCAACATGACTGTAAACATAGGACTATTTGCAAAGTTTTTGTTACATTACTGAAAGACAGCTTGGATTATTATTACTTCTTAAGAAAACCTGATTGAATTTGGTAGCAAAGTTGGCCTCATCACTCCCTGATTTTGACACAGGAGAGCAAACAAGGGTTCTGAAAATCCAGGAGCTTTAATCAGCCTCCTTTTCAACAGGAGAAGTGGTAAAGCTTTCATTATAAGGCCACACAAAATTTTCAGCAATGCGTTAAACAAAAACTTAACTTGCGGTCAACCTCTTTTTGGGCAAAAGCAGTCACTATACCTTGCACAGCTGCCCTTTGTAAAAAAAAAAAAAAAAAGTTAGAGAATGCACCAGAATGTTCTCACCAAGAAGTAACAAAAGGGGCAAATCAGCACATACTTACCCAGAAATGTAAGTGCTAACAATATCATTTCTTTTCTTTAAAAAAATGTGATAAGACTTTAGAACAGCCAAGTCACAGTTTTATCACCAAGGAAGGCCTTTCTGTTGCATGATCAGCAAGTACAAAAATCTTGGTTTGCAATGCTCTGAACTGGAAACAGAGCAGCTCAACCAAATAATGGTGTTTTTCCCACAGAATCTCTGTAGCAGTCCCAGTTTGTTCCCAATGCAGTTTCTAACATTATCCATTGTTAACATTAATACACCCCCCCAAAAAAATTCATATACACTGAAATATAGCATTTGCATGGTCCCTTAAGTTGGTCAGAGTCTACTGTAACAGGAAGACAAAGTATGAGCTTCCCCTTCTCCATGAGACATGACTTGGGACAGGCCTGTTACAAGTGGAAGAAGGGGAAGCACTCCTTGGGAATCATTTCCCTCCTCACGGCCAGCTAGGAAACACCCCCAACAGTCAAGACGTCAAAGCAGGTGTTGCAAACACGGACAGGCTTGTTCAATTCAAATTTGATGATAGGAATCTCCTTGGTGGAACACTTATGGCAGAGCAGACGCCCACAGTGCCGGCTGCAAGGAACAAGGAAGGAAAAAGATGTGTTTAATTCATCCCTGCGACTTGTTTACTATAAAGGATCGATTTAGGAAGAGAAGGTGAAGAAAAGAAAATTATTAGAGTTTTCCACAACATTGAAAGTTCTTGGAATTTATATGGCCAATCATTAGAGCTAGGTGTCCATATAAATTTAATAAATAATGTGTAATAAGTAATATGGTTTCTTTTCGAATCAGAATGGTTGACTCTGTAAAAGCACAGGCTAGAAGAAAATGAAGGATAAAAAAAATCAAAGTGTGGGTGAAATTGGAGAAAATCTATGTAGCTGCTAAGAGTTAACACCAATTTCATGGCACATTGTGTGTCTGTCTCCTTGCCTGCCTGCCTGCCTACTGAATTCCTATACCCCCTATCACACAGAGGGAGTTTCATCCGGGTCTTTGTATTTGCCTTCAACTGAAATCAGTCCTTGCTTTCAGAAGCCAAAAAGGTGAATTTGAAAAAGAAACTGGAAGCATCAGTTACAGTTGTCTTTTTTTTTTTTTTTTGGAATAACATATTTTATGCCTGATCTCTATTTTGCATGGATGAGGTTGTTATTTTTATTTTGTATTCATTGTTATGTTTTTAACCTGAATTCCCAAACTGAGACTTGTAAACCATCAGTGTAGGGCTTCTGGAGAAAAGGCTCTCTTTCTTCCTTAAGAGTTAGCATCTCTGAAACATGGACAAGAGGAAAGAGGCCACATCCTGATCATAGGATGTGGACTGAAGCTGCTTTCTGGACAGTGAAAGGGCCAGATTTCAATAAAAAGCACAATGAACTCTATTGGCAGCTGCATTGTCCATCTCAAAAAAAGCAAGGTGGGACAGAAAGATTAAGTATGTCAGGTTACAAGTCCTTCACTATATTCCTTAATTTTTTTAAAAAATAAAACCCATGTTCATTTATGCAGTTCATCCCCTGATGTTCTTAAAATATCAACACTCAAAATAGATTACCAGTGATGCTTTCTCAAAGTGACCCCAAACTTGACACCGCATTCGTAACAATTGGAGCCGTCACACCAGGGAGGTTCCTTGAACAACATGTCTGCAAAAGAAAGGGCAACAATGGAAATCTACAATCACTGTCCCTGCCTTCTAACCCACCTTATTTAGGTAAGCCTGTGTTTCTGTTTTTCTAAGCCCACTTTTAAGCAAGACTTAAGCGAAGCTCTTAAGGACTGTCTTAGTTAATGGGATCCATCCAACTTCTTCAGAATCTTTAGCTGGGCTAAACCGCACAGAGTAGAAGATGTAGAAGTAGCTACTCAAAGATCTTTCTTGCTTTACCCTCTTAAAGGTCTGCTCATAAAGGAGATTATCATCAGGGGCCATCCCATTAGCAGATGACCAACAGGTAGAGAGAACTATGGAAAAGTGACTACCTGTATGATAGAAGTCAAATATAGTCTCTCAGTTCTAAGCCCACTTTCTCCAGCTATTAAACCACACACTAAGTCTGAGAAGACATTGTAGGAGGAGAGCCATGTTAGGCTACACAAAAATCAGGAGGTGGCTGATGGCGCTTTTCCTGGGTAACAAGTTTTATTGAAAGGGACACCTTTTCATAACATCTGTCAGTCTGCCATTCTTCAATTTGCTTGACAATCTTCTTTACCTGTGTTTTCTTTCAAGAAATATAAAATTTGAACCACATGATATGGAGAAAAGACTCAAGAGATCTATACTTGTTTCCCCATTCCCTCAATTTTACAAAAAAAAAAAAAAATTCGAAGAAATTTGATGGACAAGTAGTGGCTATTTCTACCTTTTTCAAAGAGATGATTTTGGGTTAAAACAGCCTACAGCCTGCTTCTCTTAGTGACAGAGAAATCTGTGAAAATGTTTTGGACATGCAACTTTGCAAGATCCTTACCCAGAAGCCGGAAGAGAAGCTGTTTAGTTGCTACTTGATAGTTGAAAATATTGATTCCTTGATTGTTGTTGATGCCCAAGCGAGCACCAGCTCTCACTATAGCCCGACACAGATTGGCATTTCCCTTCATGTAGGCCAAAAGGAGCACTTGAAAAGAAAAGAAAAATGAAGTATTTGGATCCCATCGTACCCAGTTCAAATGAAATCACCTTCACTAATTCTAGGAAGGTTTCCCCAGCGAGTCATACAGCAGCAAACAATTTTTCTTAATTGAAGAAAGAAAGAAAAAAAACACACTGAACCCAATCCCACTACAAACCAACTCTTTTGGCAGGTATTACTGGAAGTGATTAGGGCACTTAGTTCATATCAGTGCCTACTTTTTCTAGTCTGCAAAAAGATCTTTGACATGAGCTGCCGGAGATTAACACACCTGGAAGTTGCACATAGTTGTGCTAATTTACACTTCTGCCCCAAATAACAGCTGCCACATACACTAAATACAAATGGGAATCTGCTAAATTCAGGGACCTCATTCCACCCTAAGAAATGTAATAAATTGCTTTGATTATGTTAATAAAGAGGATGACAACTGTTTTTCCCTAACTGAAGGATACAGATACCATAAGCTGCCACACCTGTCTTTTGTCCTCTTTCTAAAGAATGTATCTTCTGTAGCCACAGGAATTGTGAGATTAGGCTACACGACAGGTGTCAAACTCGCCATGTCATGTGACGTGTCACGACGTATCGCAACTCTTTTTGCATTGCTGGCAATAGGGTAGCCGTGGCTTCGGTATGATGAAACCGGCCCATGGGCCGGCAGTTTGACACCCCTGGGCTACACTGACAAAGTTTTATTAAGATATTTCCACAGCATACTTCCACTTGAATGTTCATAGTGGTCTACAGTACATACAGTTAAAAAGATGGAAGAGGACATGAAGTCTTCAGTGCAAGAATCTGAATTAAAATATGGCCAATGAAGGCTCTTCAATCTTTACGCAAAGTTAGAACCAGAAGCAAATCACAACACTGGGGTAGAAACTGCAGAGGTGCACAATGCAGAGATAAAATGTTTAAGGAGAAAACATTCTGGTAGCTCCCTGGCCTTGTATGAGAAAGCAAGAAGCAAAAATGTTTCTATCATCTCTCTGACATAATCTCATCCCTTTTGCCAAGATGGCAGTTACTCTGTTGGGCTGGGAAGAAGCTAAAACACGTTCTCCATCCTGGAGGAAAATTGTGGGAGCTAGAGTTTTAACAATCTTACGAACGGTGTTTTTAAAACTTGGTCTTTTAAGATGTGTGGACTTAACTCCCTGAATTCCCTAGCCAGCATGTTGACTGGGGAATTCTGGGAGTTGGAGTCCAGACATCTCAAAAGTTGACAAGTTTCAAAAACAGTGGAATAAAAGTACTTACCCGTGTTTCCATCAGTATCTGGCTTGTCAAGTGGATATTCTGGCATACATTCCCGGAAAAAATCAAAGATTGTTGCTGCATTCTCTTTCCCATATTGCCCCAGGATGTGCATTGGGGACTGGCCTCTAGTAATGAGATGTTGATCATGTTACATTCAGGGCAAATTCCAATGGCAATACAAGAAGCTTTCTCCTTTTCAAGTCGGAGTTCACTTTTTTACACACACATACATCTTTAAAGGCAGTTGGTTAGATGTTACACAGAATTATTTTTTCAATTATGATTGCATATTAAGTGCTCATACTCAAAAAAGGTTATTTCATCTCCCTGAAGCAATTCATTCCACTTTTCCTCCAGAGAAGCCTTGCTAAGAAAGCCTTGTTACACATGGTTACTTTTCCCAGTGGAATTGCATAACCTCAAACTCTGAAACAGTTTGAAAATCCAAGGTCAGATAAATTGATAGGAATGAAAAATGTGGCAATCATGTGCAAGTGAAACACATACACCCAGATCTATTAAGAGCATAAGTTTGGAAGCCCCCCCTAAATTTGAAGCAACCTGACTGGATAAGGAAAAAGTACCACCCATTAAAACAGTGTTTCTCAACCTTGACAATTTTAAGGCATGTGGACTTCAACTCCCAGAATTCCACAGCCAGCAATGCTGGCTGTGGAATTCTGGGAGTTGAAGTCCACATGCCTTAAAATTGTCAAGGTTGAAAAACACTGCATTAAAAGATATTTGTTTAGCTTTGCTTATGAAGCAAGGAGAAAAGCAACCCACTTCTGGATAATTTTCAGTGCTAACTCCCCTATTCCCCCCCCCCAAGCTAATACAAAGATAAAAAGGCTGTTCTTCTTACCTGGCATTAATGGCTTCTGCATCTATATTACACTCTGTCAAAAGAACACGAATATTTGACAGACGACCATGCATGACTGCCAAGTGAAGAGCTAAATTTTGACAAGAAAAAGAAGGCAGGATTGAAACAGAACCTAAAAAAGATCTGTAC